TCGGCCACTCGTTTGGTGAGATCGCCTGCGCTTACGCTGACGGATGTCTAACCACTCGCGAGGCTATGTTTGTCACCACAATCAGAGGTATCACTGAAAAGGACAAAAACATACCCAAAGGATTGATGGCAGTCGTAGGCCTTCCATACGCTGAGGCCAAGAGGTTGTGTCCGAAAGGGGTTTATGTTGTCTGTAATAACGCTAAGGATAATGTAGTTATTGCCGGTAAATAGAGGACTATATTTGGTTTTATTACGAGATAATCATAAGTTAATTCAATTTTTAGGTCCACTAAATGACATGAAAGGCATTATAAAGGAATTGGAGGAAAGGGGTGTATTTGTGCGACAATTACAGAGCAATGAAATCCCATATCATTCACAATATCTCATATCCAGCGCACAGCCCATGACGGACGCCATCAAGAAATTCATACCAACCCCTAAACTCCGGTCCAAGAAATGGTTGTCCACATCAGTCGTGTCCAGCGATCCGGACGACGAGAACCTGAAGTACGCGTCCGCCGAGTACTTCGTGTATAACCTCATGAATCCCGTCATGTTTTACGACAAATTCAAAGACCTCCCCAAAGACGCCGTTATCCTCGAGTTGGGTCCGCACTCGCTGTTCGGCAAAGTGGCGAAAGACACTCACGAGAGCTGTTCCTACGTATCGCTCATTAAAAAGGACTCAAACGATACAAATCTGGATATGTTTTTGTCCGGATTGGCAACACTTTACGAATTGGGTTACAATCTGTCAATTGAGAACCTGTACCCACGGGTAGAGTGGCCGGTGGCCAGGAGTACACCATCTATTAACTCGCTAATCAAATGGGATCACAGTACCGAGCTGAAAAAGAAGATTTACCCTGAACTATTCTGTAGGGCTAACGCCGCGGACATGAATTTTACGATTAATTGCTTAGCGAAAGAGGATTTGTTTTATATGGACCACTGTGTCGATGGCAATCCTATATTCCCGGCCACCGGGTATCTAATGTTGGCCTGGCGTAAATTAGCAGCGTCAATTGGCAAACTATGGCATCACGTGCCGGTTATATTTGAGAATGTTCAACTTAAAAGGGCTGTGTTTTTGTCGGATGAAAAGGATACTGTTTTGAAAGTTAAATATTACCCATTAACAGGTATGTTAATTATAGATTTATATAATAAGTTATTAGTAGTTGTACATACAGTAGAATAAAAATATAAATTATATGTGCGAAATCCATATTAACTTGTTTACTCAGCTTTATGTAAAATACCGTTTAAAACAAAACACTATAAAGACTACTATTAAACTATATGTTAATAATCTATATTTTATTAATAATTTAAATACTTTAGACGAATTTTCCATATACGACAACGATAACGTGTGCGCTGTGGGCAAAATCCGGGCACCGGGCGATGAGGTACTGGTATCTCAATACAAGATCTACGAGAATGAGAAACACATAACCGACTGCGAGTACACACTGGAAAGGGATGACATCTATAAGGAGTTACGTATTCTGGGCTTAGATTACGGCAAAGAGTTTCGTCGACTGCGAAAAGTGGGCACAAATAACTTTCGCGACTTTTACGGCCTAAACGAATGGGACGGAAACTTTGTCTCCTATATGGACGCTATGCTACAGT